TGAGCTTCATTTCATATTGCAGACTGCAATCCTTGACCATCTGCAGCAAGTGTTTCAGGTCCTCCTCAGTTTCAGCAAACAAGGTTGTGTCATCTGTCAAATGCAGTTTGTGGATGAGGTTTCCTTAATCCTGATGCCACATTCCTCTTCATAAAGCTCAGCTCCTGGATGATCTAATCCACATATAGATTGAAAAGGTATTGGAGGGAAAAAGTGTATGGGGATAGGATGCATCTCTGATACATTCCCTTCCTGATTTTGAACCATGAAGTGTTTCCTTGTCTGTTTTGGCAATTGTCTCCTGCAAAGACATTTTACTGTGTGGATCACAACAGACTGTGGCTTACTTTGAGAAGCACAGGAATCCCAGAACAACTGACTGGGCTTAAGCGAAACCTTCCTATATTTACTGGTACCCAGACTGCTGTTCCTCTCCAGGCACTAAAGTGCATAAAATTGCCTTAGCACTATGAGATTTTGAAGAAGTCAAAAACCAAACAAACCCCCAGATTATTTTATTTTTTAAATTGCACTAACTAGAAAAATAGAAACATCTACTTGTTGCTTTTAGGGGAAACAAAAAAAATTCAACTTGACTCCCTTCCAAATGAAAAACTGTATGTCATAAGAGTTTTGCCCTGATGCTAGGAACAATATTTTAAAAAATTATACTACAAATTAATAGAGCTGATTAAGTACAGAGAGACTAATTCTAGTAAGGTTACCTTAACAAAGTTTGATTTACATAGAAATTTGTTTTCAATATTACAAAATAAAATGAGAACAACTTAACTTTTTGCCATCAACTCAGAACCTACTCATAGCTAACCCTCCAGAGGAATTTCAGAGGCTGTAAACGACACAAGTGGAATGCTCAAGCCAGACTACTATCTGCCGAAGTAGAATACACACCTCTCACCCTACATAAAAATCAACTCAAGATGGGTTAAAGACCTAGAGGCAAATCTCAAAACCATAAAGATCATAAAAGACAAAGTAAGACCAAACTTAGAATGCCTACCATGTAGCATAAAAAAGCTGGAAAATATAGTCAGAAATACACAAGCAGGAGAGAATAAAATTGATGAATGGGACCATCTAAAGATTAAATCCCTCTGCACATCAAAAAGATTTTCCAACAGAGTGAAAGGAAAACCTACTGCCTGGGAAAAAACATCTAGCAATACCATCTCAGATAAGTTTACAGAATCCTACAGGGCCTCAACAAGAAAATAACTGATAACCCAATCACAACATGTAAAAGACATCGAAAGACCTTTCACAGAGAACGGTATTCTAATGGCCAACAGACACGTGAAGAAATGCTCAAAATCACAGGCAAAAGAGAGATGCAAATCAAAATCACAAGTAGATTTCATCTCACCTCCATAGCAATGGCAAAGTTTAATGGGTCAGCAAGTAACATGTTGGAGAGGATAAAGAGAGTAGAAACTCTTTTTTCTTAAAATTATTAAATTTTATTAGTTTTAAT